TGCCATACATGCATATAACATCTTGATCATGTCCATCCTCCCTATTAACCTTCCTTGTACCCCTTTCCTTTTATTTAGATTCCACACTTTAGAGAAAAATGTGATTTTTATGTTCCTGAATGTGGTTTATTTTGGTTAACATCTCCAGTTCCGAAAAAACAAAAAACAAAACACATCTCCAGTTCCATCCATTTTACTGCAAATGACATAATTTTGTTGTTCTTTATCGCTGAATTATATATATACATATATTCACATTTTATCTGTTCATTCTTTGTTGGGCATCTAGGCTGGTTCCATATCTTGTTGAATTGTGAATTGTACTGCAGTAAACGTGTGTATGCAGATGTCCTTATAATATGCTGACCTTAATTCTTTCAGGTATATACCAAAGAGTGGTATAGTTGGATCACATGATACACAATTCTATTTTTGTAGGAATATCTATATTTATTTCCATAGTGGTTGTACTAACTTATATACCTACCAGCAGCACCAAAGTGTTCCTTTCTTCTCACATCCTCACTGGCATTTATTGTTTTCTTATATTCTTGATGATTGCCCTTCTGGGTTGAGATGGACTCTCAATGTAATTTTAATTTGCTTTCCCTACTGGCTAAGGATTAAACTTCCTTCCCTCTTAGAACCACCTTTCCCATATCCCAGAGATTTGCGTATGCTGAATTGCCATTCTCATTTGATTCTAGGAATTTATTTATTTATTTATTTATTTTTTGGTTTTTTTTTGGTTTTTCTCCGGTACCGGGAACCGAACTCACGACCTTGTGCTTGCCAGGCAGGCACTTTTGCCGCTGAGCTAAATCCCCAGCCCCTGATTCTAGGAATTTAAAACATTTTCCCTTGATATATTTAATGCCTTATTAATCTTTCAAAAGTGAATTGTTACAGGCTGGGTGGCACATGCCTATAATCCTAGCACTCTGGCAGGCTGAAGCAATATTTAATGCAAGTTTAGTGGCCATGAACTTCTTTAGTTTATTCTTTTCTTTGAAGGTCTTTATTTTCCCTTCAGTTTTGAAGGACAGCTTTGCAGGATGTAGTAATCTTGCTTGAGGAATATTTTCTTTGGGGGCTTTCAATAAATCATTCACTGCCCTCTTTGCCTTTAGAATTTCTGCAGAGAAGTCTTCAGTTATTTTCATGGGTCTGGCTCTTTAAGTAGTCGAATATTTCTTTTTTGCAGCTCTCAGTATTTTTTCCTTGTTTTGCACTCTTGGCATCTTAACTATGATGTGAGGATGCTCTTTTCTGATCATGCCTGTTGGGAGTCTTAATGCCTCCTGAAGCTGGGTTTGGGAGTTTTTCTGTCATTATTTCATTAACGAGATTTTCCATGCCAGTAGTCCAAACCTCAGTGCCCTCTTCTACACTCAAAATTTCTAAGTTTGCCCTTCTAACCATGTTTCTGAATTCTTGGATGTTTTGTTCATAATTTCTAATTTTTTTTATCAGTGGTTGAGTGAGATAATTCATTAATTTTATCTTCAAGCCCTGAAATTCTGTGTTTTGTTTGACGCATTCTACTAGTGAGGCTTTGCACTGAGTTTTAAAATTTGAATTACTGTGCTCTACATATCCAAGATTTCCATGTGATTCTTCAGAATCTCTCTTTGTTGAATTACTCCTTCATATTCTGCACTGTATCCCTTAATTCATTCTTGTGTTTCTGTGTTGAGATTTGTGTATCTTTTGAGATAGATATTGCTTCCACTTTTATTTAAGGGCCTTCTTAGTGACCAACCTTCTTTTGAAGGCTTTATCTACAGAGCTGCACAAAGAAGTAAAAACAAACTGCAGTAACAATGACAAACAAGATTTGAAATACAGTAAAAGCCAACTAAAAGCAACAACTGTACCACCAACAATAAAAAATAAAGCACCAATAATAATATAAAAGGCTAAAATTAATTAGAATTAAAAGTATTTATAATAGATGGCTGTGATGGCACACACCTGTAATCCCAGCACTTGGGAAGCTGAGGCAGGGGGACTGCCCCAAGTTTGAGGCCAGCCTGGGCTACATAGTAACTTTACAGTCAGCCTGAACTACATAGTGGGACCCTGTCTCAAAAAAAGAAAAAAAGAAAAAGCCATGATAAAGCAACACTAATAAAATTGGAGGGCTGCAGAATGGGAAAAATGGAAGTAGCAGCAAAATAAAAAGGAAAGGAAGATGAGAAAAAAGAAGGAAATAGATTTTAAAATCCAATTAAAGAATATAAAAGTAAAACAAAATAGAGAAGAAAACAAGAAAAAAGAAAAAGAAGACAAGAAAAAGGTGTATGTGGAGGGAGAAAATGGAATACGCAGTTGATCCCTAACACTGGGGAAAAAATTAGTGGTGGTTGTTTTTTGAAGATTTTTAAAAGAACCTCCTATTGTTTCATCAGTGCAAAGTCTTCTCTCTCTCAAGACGTCAATTACAGTTTTAGGAGGTTTTCCCTAACTATCTGGTAGGGTTTCAATGTCTTCCTATGGAGCCATCAGTAGACCTCACCTCAGCCTTCCCTCTCTGCTTGTCACACAGCCCATGGGGAAGACTTTGCGGCCAGTGTGGGGGATGATGATGGATAAGTGCTACCCTGAAACCGTGCAGGTGGGTAAGGGTTGGGGACACCTCTCTTCCTGGAAGGAGGTGGCTGTCCTGGGCACTCGTGGCAGGCACAGCAAGGGCCCTGCGTCTGGAGAGGACAAGATGGAGGAATCCCAGTCACCTGTGGCTGTGTCACCTCTCTCGTCTCCCCCTGCAGAGACGCAGAGTCAAGAGTAAGAAGGAGCAAGCCTCTGGGGTAAGTGAGGGCTTCTCTGGAAGGCCCAGCCTCGCTCTCTTCTGGTGAGGGCTTCATTCAGTTTCATGGGTCATGGCGTCTCCTGGGGGAATCTCACCCAGGGAAAAGCAAAGGGCTGTAACGCACCCCAAGGGTGTGAACAAGAGGGTGAGGTGTTCTAAAGCCCTACTGCCCATATTCTGCCCTCTTGACTCTCCCTACAGGCCGTAAGTCCCAGAGCAACAGGAAGACAGAATGATTCTGCCCCTGAGGAGGAGACTGACATCTTACCTCAGGAGGAAGGGCAGGTGAGGTCTGCAGAGGAGAAAGCACTCACCCCTCATTCTTACGGAGGAAGGGGTGGTAGAGACCCCAGGCTGGTCACTAAGGATGGCCTGAAGCCTCCACTGGCACATCCCCAGCCTGGCTCCTCCCAGGAAACCATGGAGCATGCGGGGTGGGGAGTGAGTGAGGCAGGAGGTGGCGGCAGCAGTGGAGGCCTAAGCTTAACCCCAGGAGCTCTAGTTCGAGCTGTCACCCCAGTGGGGCAGGGACCTGGCAAGGAGCCGGAAGGCAGCTGACCTGGTGCAAGCAAGAAGGTCTAAATCCCGGCTTCCTTGACTGCTCATGGAGGTCCTCAGTTTCCCTGTTTGCACAATGTATGACTGGCCCCATCTTACTGCTGTGTCCCTCTTGTTCCATGACAGAAAAAGACAAAGGACCATCAGGAAGTCACTGAATATCCACCTGGTAAGACTGCTGGCCTAACCCTGCGGCAGAGGCACTGCCCTCCTCCCTCACCTCAGACACCCAGCATCCCCTCCCAGCCCTTCCGGCCTGCAGTCAGAGGCACAAAACCCAGGCACCGGGGCGCCTGGGCCTTCTTAAGTATGCTGCCTGCGGTTCTGGCCTCCTCCCTGGGTTGGCAGGAACTCGGCTGCTCCCCCTAGCCAGCAACACACAGATGACTTGACTGTCCCAGCAGGGGGCATCGGGCCTGGGGGAAGGTTCCTTCCAGTGAGGGCCTCACAGGCCTCACCTGTTTGTATGTTTTAGGGGCTTCTGTGATGGAGAGCAAGGAGGAAAGACCATGGGGCTGGGCCCCCCAGCTCCTGAGAAAGTTCTGGCCCAGCTGGTTTCTAGCCTCTGACACCCGCAAGATGCAGAGCCATGAGTGAGAAGGGATCTAATAAACCCTGGAGTTCCTGCCTCCACCCGTCCAATGCCTCCTTCAGGGGCCCCACAGCTGCTTGAACAAACCCCCCTGCCTGCATCTGCACGTTCTCCTGACAGCTCTAGGGACCCTGCTTCCTGCCCCACGCCTGTCCCCATAGTGGGCACTCTGCAGCGGTCAGTGCAGGCCCTGGCGACCCTCTGACTCAGTGCCAGGTGGCAGACCATGGCCCTGGGGAGCTCCCTGTCCCAAGGGCACTTACTAAAGTGGCTGTGGAAACCCCACTGGGACACTGCAGTGTCCTCTGGGAGAGGCGGCCCTGGTCGCTTCTGCTCTGAGTGTCTGGAGCTCTCTGTCCCAGCTGTTTCATGAACAGGGAAGCAGACGCTCCTTACTCCCCCTTGGGTGCTGTCCTCACGCCCAGTCAGAGCAGCCACCAAGGGATGTGCAGAGATGGGAAAAAGCAGTTCCCACCCTGCGTCCAACAGACTCTAGGCCAACAAGGGTCACAGGCCCAGAAGTCAAGGGAGGAAGATAGGTGTTGACAACCACCTGGTGTAAACCTCAGTGGCCAACGGGCAACAGAAGCCCAGGGTGGAAGGGACGACCCCAGGGCTGTCCAGTAACAGTGAGGTCTAGGAGCAGGGACTCCACCTCTCCTCCGCACGCCTCACTGTCACATGGATCCAGGGTTGAGCCCTCTCCCTAGGACTCCACAGGCTCATCCCCAACCTGACCTGGCCACTTAGAAGGCAGTACCCTAGCCTGCAGCCCTGACAAGTGTCCTCCAACTCTAGCCGGGCCTGAGAGGCAACTCCACAGTGCAAGGGGCCTGCATAGCTGCATCTGTGAGGGGCCAGGGAATGAGAGCAATCTGGCCTTCTAGTGACGCAGGGAGGTGGTGCAACAGCAAGCAGGAACACTGAAACGACACCCAGGATGTGGAGGCAGATTTATTTACTCTACAGTACTGATGAGGATCATTCCCAGAATCTCAGGCCCTGATCTCTGGTGGTCTAGGACTTATATGAGACATAAGCAAGCAGGAAGTACAGAGGCAAAATGGCTTGTCAGTTGGGGATGGTTTACACAATGTGTATCATAGTGACCAGCCGTTGCTAAGAGACAGGAGCCACCAGCACAGTAACAGGAACTATTACCTGGGCAACTAACAAACTGAAGTTACTGGCTAGGGTATAGGGGCATTTTCTGCTACAGGGGCTCCCTCCAGGCCTTCCCATGAAACTTCTGGCATCAGATGACGCAGCCCCCATGTCAGTCCTGAAACCTCACCCCTGCCTTCCTGATTTCTCCACATCTTTGGGGAGAAGTTAGGTTACAGATGTGCTGCTGGGCTAAGCACCAGCTCCGGCTGTGTTGCGGGTGAGGTTGGAGCTGAAAAAAGGGCCTCCACCTGGAGTCCTGCTGTCCCCCTCCCACCCAGGCACCCCAAGCCTGCTCAGAGGCCACACAGAGCCCTTCTCTCAGATGCTGGAACCTGTGTGGGCTCCCTCATGGGCTGAAGTGGACCCAGTGTGTGCGGCGGGGTGGAGAAATGTGAGCCAACCTCACCCTCCCTCGGGACCCAGCAGTCAGGTAACGCAAGGAATCAGACTCTTCTACGGAGGTCCTGTGCAGTGGGCAGCCCAGGCCGAGTGCTGGACCAGCGAGAGTGAGACCTACTGTTTCAATTTTTTGATCTTATAAGAATGAGGGACCAGCCCAATAGACAGACTGCTGCGCTCAGAGTGTTTACACAGTCACTGATACCGAAGCCTGGTTCTCCCCCAGGACTGGAGTTTATAAACTACTCTGGCCAGTGCCTAATCTTTGTCTTGTTTGCTCTGTAAACAACATATGGGATTTTTTTTTTTTAAAGCAAATAATTAAATTACAGGGGTAATTTTTCAACTGTCAGTGCTTTTTTTAGAGTTAGCATAGCAGATTTTATTTTTAATTGACTATTTACCCTCTTCCCCCTTTGTTTAGAAACGCTTTTAAATGTATGACTGCAGTCATGAAGTTACAAGTCTTAACCTGGAAAAGAGATGAGTTTTACCTTTGTTTTTTCAGTAAAGAATTGATGAAGCAGGGAGTGGATGTCCCTGGGGGTGCTGCTGAGGCCTCTCGACAGTCTGGGGATCCTCCAGTAGCCAGGGTGAAGCTGGAGAAAGGGCTCACTGTATGTTCAGGTCACAGGTGGGCGTGAGCCGGGCCTTGCTGCCTGCTCTAGCGGTGCTGTGTGCAGAGCTGGTAGGGAGATGGGCTCACCAGGGCACCAAAGGGCGCATAGTCGCTGGGCCGGGGCTGCCCCTCGGGCACCGAGAAGCTGAAGCGCTGCAGCAGGCAGGTGAAGAAGAGGAAGAGCTCCATGCGAGCCAGAGGCTCCCCGAGGCATGTGCGGCGACCTGTGGGTGGGGACGGGGCTCAGTCAGTCTGGGTCCTGGGCTCCTCCCCTCCTGAAAAGGGGATGGGGAGCCAGGCAGCTGACAAGTACCTGCTGAGAAGGGCATGAAGGCCTCCTGCTTCACAAAGCGGCCCTCGCTGTCCAGGAAGTGTCCAGGGTAGAATTGGAGGGGCTTCTCCCAGACGGTCTCGTCCTTCAGCACGGACGACAGGTTGGGGATGAGCGTGGTCCCCTGGCAGAAGGTGGCTAGCATGAATGTGGATTGAGGTGGTGGACACGGAACCCCTGTCAATAAACCCACCTGGGCACGCTCGAACTTGGACCCTTTCAATTAACCATGAACTCCAGAAGCTTCTTAGCACCCTCTCTGAGCCCACGGCGGGGCCAGGTAGAGGTGCTACAAGGCTCCCATAGGTGCTCATGCTGTCATCTGCCTTTGTGTGTTGTCTCCTCCAACACTATATGACTTGCTTTCATTTTTAGCTCACCACTCTGGAGACTCAGTGGGGACAGGGAGGCACCGTCTGTGTTCAGCACTGCACACAGCCAGCCTGGCCTGGCAGCGCCGATGGAATCCAGGGTCGGGTGGCCTGTGTGCTCCTGGCCTCCCCTGGGAGTGGCCCTGCTGCAGACGGAGGGCCCCAGGCCTACCTTGGGGATGAGGAAGCCCTGCACCTCAGTGTCACGGGAGGTCATGTGAGGAAAACCCAATGGAGCGATGTCCGCAAAGCGCTGCACCTCGTGAATCACGGCGTTGGTGAAGGGCATGCGGGCCTGGTCCCCCATCTCTGGGCGCCGCCCCTGGCCTATCACTTCATCGATCTCCTGCTGGACATGGCCTGCACAGACATGCATGCCCACAGGGGGTCAGTCCCCCAGGGCTGACCCTGACCCTCTCCACCCCTCCGTTAAGGGCTATGACCAGGTGAGGAGGGCGTCACTCTTACGGGCCCTGGGAAATCTCATGGTCTCCATGAACTCCACTTGGAGACCCTACTGCTACTTTGCCTCCCTCATTCTCCCATGCAGCCCCAGCTGGGCTCACGCTGCACATCCGGGTGCAGGATCATGAGCAGCAGGGCCCAGGCCAGCGTGGTCGACGTGGTCACCATCCCTGCCGAGAACAGGTCAGCCACAACCAGGCGCAGGTTTTCATCACTGAAGCTGCTCTCAGGGCTCCCCTTGGCCTGGGCCAGGCAGAGAGGGTGGGCTCAGGGGAAAGAGGGAGAAAGCCCCTAAATGACCCCTGTTTTTCACCCCTCAGCCCAGATGCTGGGTCAATGGAAGGTGCCCAGGCCTCACCTTGCCTCACACCTCACAGTACCCCCAGTTCAGACCCCCAGTCCCTTCTCCTAGCTGCCCCTCACCTTCTCCACCTCGGCCAGGAAGGTGTCAGTCAGGTCTCGGGGTGGCTGGGCTGGGTCCCAGGTTGACCTGTGCTCAGTCAGCAGCTCATCCAGCAGATCCATGAAGGCCTTCTGTTTGGGGAAGACCTTGCCTGGCAGCCCTGGGATGCGCAGGAGGATGGGGACTGCATTCAGCACCTGCAACAGCACAGAGGGGCCTGGTCCTTCCTGAGATAAGTGCTCACTGGGCCAGCTGTAGGTCCCAAGCCTCCTCTGGGGTGGACCCAGGGCCTGCCTGGGGCCACTGGTGGCTGGCTCTCTCCCTAGTGCCAGCCTCCCTACTTGCCCCTGGCTTGGGCTGCCACATGCAGCATCCCACCTGGAAATCTCTTGAGCTTGTGTGGCTCCTAACATGGATAGGAGTGCAGACTCCCCCGTCTCTGGAGCCCAGACCCCGGGCTACCTCTCCCATGACCGCTGGCTGACATTTGCCCCCTCCAGCCCTTTCCTCCTGCAGAAACCTCTCCCAGAATGCCCTCTTCCCATCACCCCTGCATGCAAATCCTGTGGTGGGGCCTCCTCTGTGCCCTGCACCTGGGGCACGATGCCAGAGTCTTCCTTCACGGTGTCCTCCAGCAGCCCCAGAAGCCTGCCCAAGAGCGGGTCCTCGTACTCGAAGCGGCGCCCATAGACGAGGGAGGAGATCACGTTGCACACCGCTTTGTTCAGGAGGGCGTTGGGGCTAAAGGGGTGTCCTGAGAATGGGTATGTGGGTTCGGAGGTGGCCAAGTCCCTGTCGCAGTCTGCCTCTTCCTCCCCACCCCTTCCTCTGACCCTCCTTGTTCCCCTCAGCCCATCACCCACCGTCGTGGGCAGCAAAGGCGGCACAGAGGCAAGTGGCCTCCTCGGTCACCCACTGCTCCAGCGACTTCTTGCCCAGGCCGAAGTTGCGCAGGGTGGACACGGAGAAGCGCCGCAGCTCACGCCAGGTGGGCCCGTAGTGTGCCAGGATCACCCCTGGGGCAGGCAGGCACTGGGACTTGAGACTTCTGACCCACTTCCTTATCCACCCTCCCGCCCCCTAGCCTGGGATCCCTTTTACCCACCTCCACAGCCTGCATTCACTGGCTTTTCCCTGACCCCACACCTATCCGTCTGTCCCCGTCAGACCCTGGATAACCTATGACTCCTGCTTCCCAGTCCTGGGACCCTCCCCATCTCCACTTCTCTGCCGCTGCCTTCATTTACCCTGAGAGCGCTGCCCGATGCCTAGGTGTTCATAGATGGGCATCGGAGGCCGGTCAGCGGTGTCCTCGCTGTGGCTCACCAGTGCCTCGCGCACGGCCGCCAGCCCATTGAGAACGACCACGGGCTTCCAGACCAGCTGCAGGCTGAACACGTCACCAAAGCGGCCTCGCAGCTGCAGGCAAAGCAGCAGTGCATTTGTCAAGCCAGGGTCTGGACCCATGTAGAGCTAGTGGTCTTCGCCGCATAATCTGAGGCTGCGGGGAAGTGAGCAGCAAACCAGGTGCGAGGAAGAGACCTGGTATCCAGATCAGGTGTCAGGAGCGGGGGCCTGAGTCCTCTGTGGGGGAGGAGCTCACTTTGGATCAGCCGGGTAAGCTCGTCCAACCAGTCTCAAGAAATTGGCACAGGGCCCATTAGCCTCCTACTTCACAGATGAGGAAATTCTAGTTCACACGGTGAGCTGTGAGACCCTAGCGCCATGGCTTCACAGGACTGACGTGCATCGCTGCTCCTGTCTCGGCCTCAGTTTCCACGGAGTGCTGCTCAGGACCCTGGTCCTGGCCCTCATTCCCGAGACTGTTCCTCTCATGTCATCAGAAGGACTTGGGGCCTATGTAACTTCTGCTCTACCCAGTTGGATCCAGAACCTGCTGCCACATCTCACCTCACCCCCTGGCCTTGTGCCCTCAGAAAGCTTGGAGTGTCCCTAGGCCTGAAGTGTCCTCCCCAAGGAAGCCTGCAGCCTGCTGCTTCTTGGGGCCCCATCTCCCTGCACAGCCTGTGGCTTCCCCGCCAGTCACTACTGGCTTTGTTGTATGCCCCTGCCACCATCGCTGCTGTGTGACCCCAGCTCCCTCACCTTTCGGCAGCACTCCAGCATATTCCGGAAGTCCAGCTGCAGCAGGTTGCCCAGCCCGGGCCAGGGCATGGGGCCTGGCGGGTAGCGAGCAGCCCAGCGCTGCCGCCGGTACATCAGGTCCACCAGGAGCAGGAAGACGGCCATGGCCATGGCCACAGGCAACAATGCATCCCCGGTCAGCAGCCCCATGGAGACCACTGGCTCCTCTGGACACTTGGAGGCTGGTACCACTCAAGGGACCTAAGGTCAGAGAACACACCAGTCACAAAGTACAGTGGCAAAGCAGGTCTAGAATCAAGGCCTTGGGTACCTGCTGCCCACTCCATGGCCCAAGGCTGACTCCTCTCCCTAGGGCAGGACTGTAGCCCACAGACCTCATTTCCTGTGCCGGCCCAATGCTATGGGACCTGCCCCATCGAGTCAGTCATTTGGAGGATGTCACCCTGGGTTGGTGCCCACACAAGTGTCCTTCTTTAGCTCCATCCTGGCATGAAGCTCAGCTCCACACTGGCAGGGCTGGACCCTGCATTCCTGAGGGGCTGGGGCAGGGCACCAATGATGCTCTCAGGGGACTGAGAGGCTCAGGGAAGTGGCTCCCTCATGGGCCCCAACACCCGGCCTCTAGCGTGGGGTGGGCTCAGTGGTACCTGAAGTGTGGGCATCCAGGCTAACTGAGCCCATGAACACTAAAGGACAAACTCAGCAATTGGGATGCAAATCCTGTACCTCACAAAGCATTACTCGGACTGTGCCCAGCTCCCAGGAGACATCCTGCATGTCCTAGGATTGTCCTGCCTCATAATAGTCTTTGTATTTGAGCGTCAGTCCATGCCAGATAGGTCATCAAGTAGGTCATGCTAGCGCTGTGATATCTGGTTGGGGCTCTGGGTCTAGATGGGTCATTTTGACCTCTAGGGGTGCTGAAGGCTCAGTAACTACTGTCAGCCACAGTGGTGCTCTGCGCCTGTAAGACCAAATGCCAATATAATCTGTGGACATCGCGGGGGTTGGCACTTTGACTGGACATACTCCATCCCTGTTTTCACACATCATGCTGGGAGTTAGGCGCTGTCTGTATCGGAAGAGGACACATGGAACCCTGTGCTGTCTCTCCAGGACTTTGTCCTGTGGGCCCCAGATAACCTTAATGGCTTCCTGTCTGGTGATATCACCGCTTGCTCCTGCACAGACGCTTGCCAGTGTGACCACATCCACTGTGAGCTTCTCACTGGAGCCAAGATGATGGTGACACTACATCCTGGAACTTCCAGAAGCAGGAAGTAGTCTGTCTCAGAACAACAAACCACGCAATCAACCAACCAGGCACCTATGGATTGAATGTCCCCTTCAAAACTCATGTTGGAATTTGTCAGTGTACAATTATTAGGAGGTTGAACTTAAGGCTGGAGGGTAGCTCAGTTTTCGAACACTTTCCTAGAATTCATAGGGACCCAGGTTCAATCCCCAACACCACAAATACATACTTTAAAAATCTCCGCAGTATTATATGAGCTAGACATAGTGGCATACATGTGCAATCTCAACTACTTGGGAGGCTGAGGCAAGAGGGATGCAAGTCTGACACCAGCCTGGGCAATTTAGTGAGAATGTGTCTCAAAAAAGGGGGGCTGGTGACTGCTAGAGGTGGGCAATCCAAGAGTTCTCACATCACTTTCAGTAGGGACAGCTGCTTTCTGGGCAATCCAAGAGTTCTCACATCACCTTCAATAGGGACAGCTGCTTTCTGGGCAATCTGACGGGCCAGAGAAAAATGGATCACCATGTGGCTTCTCTCCAGGTAAAAGATGTAAGCACATACACACATGGGGAACCAGAACTGGACTGCCTTGGAGGACAGAAACTACAGCCTAGCCCAGGCCACACAGATGCCTGAGGAATGTGAGCGCTGCAGAGTGGGTACCTTAGGCCCTGGCTCCTGAGCAGGGCAGGATTCCTCACTTCAGAGCAGGAGTGCCCAACCTTCAGGCTTGTGTGGGCCTCACCAAGTGAGGAAGAGCTGTCATGGAGTGCATGTAAAATATGTATTTAATGGGCATATGTAACCAGATTTCCTTTATTTTTACTATTTTTATTATAGCATGTTAAAAAGGGTAACATAAACAACATGAAGATTTTTGACCTCGTGTTTGTGAAACAAATGCATTGATGTCTGGGTCAGTAGAAGTGGCTGCAATTCCCAAGGCCTTCTCAAGTGCTTGCCATACATTTTTGATCTAATTTTTATTCTCTGTGTGTTTCATTCTTGAAAACAGTTGTTCACAAATGTTCGTACAGCCAAAAAGCGATGACATGAATAAGGTGTGATAGGGAAGAAAGGTGTGACTGTGAAATGAGGGTGATTTCTCTCTGCCAAGGGAAGTCTTATAAAAGTGCTGGGAAGGGACATGCATATGTGGTTGTAACTGTATACATTCCAAAAGCATTTGCTTTTCTAAGATTAGTGATGTACAAGTAATTATAACAATATCTTAAGATTTTTGTACTTCCTATGCCACAGCTGCTAAAGAAAATTTTTAACTGATTATTTTATAAAAGAACACCACAAGCTCAAGTTTATCTTTCTTTTTTTTTTGGGACAGGTTCTCACTATGCAGATCAGGCTGGCCTTGAACTTACTTTGTAGCCTAGGCTGGCCTCAAACTTGCAACAATCCTCCTGCCTCAGCCTCCTGAGTGCTGGGATTACAGGAGTGTGCCACCACACCCAGCTCACAAACTCTAGTTTAATTATAAAATAAGGACACTTATATGTCTACTTATTCATTTACTTTTCTATTTATTTCTTTATGGTAGTGGGGATTGAACCCAGGGCCTTTGCACTGAGCTACATCACCACCCAACTTCTCTCATTTATTTTGAGACAGGGTCTTACCAAGTTGCTAAATCGCCCGGCTGGGCCTGAACTTTCTGTCTTCCTGCCTCAGCCTCTCAGAGTGCTCAGTTACAGGTGTGCACCACTGTGCCCAGCGTACATGTGCTTCATAACAATAAATGTGAGTTGAAACACTATTAATAGTAATCATTGTGTTTTGCTCACCAAGTCCCATGAGGCCATGTATCATCTGACACACATGGGTTTTGATTCTACTGACTGCATGGCAGACACAGAAAACAGAGTTAGCACTGCACTGTGTCCTCCCCTACATAATGTCCTGCCTTGGGCTCTGCAGTCTATGCTCAATTACTGTGCCACTGAGTCATTAAAAATATTGCTAAAAATCACACAATAATGTTAAAAGTTTATGACCTTGTGAGGCTGTGTTTCTAGCTGTCCAGGTTCGCACGGGCCCCCTAGGCCATGTGTTGGACACACCTGCTACAGACGATGACACAGATTTGTTTTTAAAATTTGTAAGCTTATTTTTAAATTTTTATTTATTTTGAGATGGAGTTTTGCTAGATGGTCCAGGCTGTGAACTCATGATCCTCCTGCCTTAGCGTCCCCAATAGCTGGAATTATCGGCATGGGCCACCATGTCTGGCTCCTGATAGGTTTTTTGTTTTGCTTTGTTTTGCTGTGCTGGGAATTAAAGCCAGGGCCTTGCATATGCTAGGCAAGTGCTCTACCACTGAACTATCCCTAGTCTGGAAGGCAGTTTTATTCAGCAGAGCCATCACAACCTGTTTCCTTCTCACTTGTTTCACATGACTACCTGTTTGAAAAGACTTAAGCTCTTGACTTCTTACTTCAGCTCACATTTACTGGATGCTGTATGGAAAGCACTTTCCCCCATATATATATGTATATATATATTTTTTTTTAATTTGAACCCAGGGCTTTTGCACACCCACAGTCTATTTCATTATTTTGAGACAAGGTCTCACCAAATTGCTCAGGTTTGGCTCAGACTTGTGATCCTCCTGTCTCAGTCTCCCGGAGTTCTGGGATCACAGGAGTACACCTCTTTGCCCAGAGACTCACTTTCTTCTTGGTCCTTACCCTCAGGGACCTGCAGTCCACCTGGGAAACCAAGTCACCCTTGAGAACAATTTACAAAAGAAATACAGCAAAACCCAGGGGAGCCCCATGAGGCTCCATGACAGCAGAGGTGCTGCCAGAGACAAAGGGAGGTGGGCAGGCTGTGCACAGGAAGCTTTATAGTCTCACAGCAGGACGGACAGCGGCTTCCAGGCCTAGGCAGTGGTCACTCACAGTCACAGGGAATTAGCAGGTTGTATTCACAGGCTTGGTCCCCCTGCCAGACCCACAGGTTATGGACCACAGGGATTGTGTTTGGAACCAGTTTCTCCACAGAAACAAGCCACACAGGAAATACGGGCTGCCCTGGAAGATAAGCACCGCAGCGCAGCTCCCCACCCCGCCAGCTGTTTTTCAGTTCTGCACTCCTCACTCACCAAACTGGATGCCCAGAGGTGTCCCAGACTTTTCCCTGCATCTTAAACCTTGACCAGTCAGCAAGTCCTACTAATTCCAGGCTCTAAAAGCACTCAGACCCACTACCGCATCTAATCAATGGTCAACATTTGAGGGGAAAAGTCTGGGCTCCGGCTCATGGGCGAGCCCTAACACTGCTTGCTTCAGCCCCACGGGAACCATCTATACACACTGCCCATGTGGGAGGGCTGGCGTTAACTTCAGAAAACTTCCTGTGCTACTCCTAATCCAAAAGTCCACTACTCATAGACCCTTGGTCAGAACACGGCCATGGTTGAGAATATCCTACTGTCTTTGTCATGAAAGAGTGCTTGTTTATGGTCAAAGATTCAGACAGAAAAAAATTCTTTTTAGTTGGACAGCGAGCCTTTCTCCCGCCAACTCCTATTATTCCAGGACAGCTGGGTATGCAGCCCACTATGAATGATTTGGCAGCCGTGGGTGAGTCACTGAGCTCTGGCTTTGTTCTCAGTCATGGGACAATTGTGCCTGTGCTACTGCCTCCCTGGCCGACAGGTGAGACTCAGCCAAAAAGGCACAAAGCACAAAGGGTCCACAGTGCAGGCACTTCATTCCTCTGTCTCCCCAGCCGGTGGGGCTCTTGTTCTTAACCTGGTTCACCTTCTTCCTGCAGTCAGAGGGGCCAGAATTCTCCAATCCCACCCACCAATCCTTGCTCTCTGCTTTACTTCCACCTGCCCTGACCTGTTTCTCCTTGAAAAAGAAACCCAAACACAGGGACTAGATCTGGACTCAGATGGGATGAACATGTGCTGAACACATTCCCCATCAAGCACACTCACAGTTTGCGCTGAACTGTCATGACATCTCCTTGTGGGAACAATGCAGGGTGCTGGATCTCCACGGACAGACAAAGCAGGGCTCATAGCACCCACAAATCAGGAACCCCATTATACACATATAACCATTTATGAAAAAATGACCTAATATTACCAAATGCATCACGACTCCTTCTGCGGAAAGAATCAGAATGCGGCTGCATGTTTCCCGTGTGTCTCTTCATTCTGCCTGAAGCCCCCTCTTCTCAGCACTTATAGCAGATACAGGTCTACACCTGTCCTGGGGGCTGCTCTTTGCCACAGATGCGGCAAGTGAAGAGCTGGAAGGGCAGCACAATTATCAGCCCGTGTCCAAGTGACAGAGAGGGGCCTCCAGCTTGGTCTGTTGGTCTGTGGTGCCGAGTCTAGGCAGTACTGGTCCCAGGACCCAAACATTATCACAGAGCGCTGGCCAGTGACTTACATAGCAGAAGAGAGGGCATCCAGACCCAGGGGCACACAGGCGCGGGCCAGCAAGACCCCTGTGCCTTTTATTGTGCTGCCCTCCTGGGTCGGAAGGCTCTGCCGAGTCCCCTGGCTGGGTTCCCCCTCTCCTGCACAGCACTATATTGTGATGCGGCCTCCACTGCCTCCTAAAGAGACCACATCTGGGGGAATACCGACTGGACAGAGACAGAGACACACACAGAAGCCTTGTGGTGTCCTACAAATGTGCACATTTCCATTTTGGGAAATCTGTTTCCTAGTCTCCTCATGGGGGCACAGAAGGCCCCTGCAACCACCACTGGTCTTTCCCTCTTCCCTCCTCTCCTCTCTTCCCTCCCGTCCCCTTCCCTTTCCTCTCCTTTCCTTTCCTTCTTTGGTACCAGGGATTGAACTCAGGACCTCCCACTTCCCAGGCAGGTACTGTGCCACTGAGCTATATCCCCGGCCCCTCACCATTGGTTCTGATCTCCTCTCCCCTTCTGACTAGGGTCAGGGACCTCTGCAGAGCTTCTGCACACGCTGCCTTCTCACAAGCCCATCCTGCACACTCAGGGCAGAGATGCAACATAAAATGCTACCTTCCCCCTTCCCTAACTGCACCTTCTGTGAGCAAAAGCACGTCCTGGAGCTCTGACCAGTTTCCTGACAGTGGAGATGAACTTCCACAGAGCCTGTCTCCTCGCCCTTTCAGACAACTGAATAGGGTGTCTTGCAGCTAGGGAAGAAATTAAATGAACTCTGGGGACTCAAACAAACAACGAATTAATCGGCACCGTGACTGCCAACCGTGCTACACATCCCTGTTCCCCTACAGCAAAGGAGTCGCACATGGAACCAGCAGGTTCCAGCTGGGCAAGCTCAAAGCGCAAAGAAATGACACAGAGAAGGCGGGCGGAGGACTCAGTTCAGTCACCACCAGCGGGCCTGCGGAGCCATTCCCTTACTCGCTCTCCCAACCGTCCGTCCCTGCAATATTAACCACGCAAGCCACGCCTGCGCTCTCGCAGTGACGCCAGAACTCTGGCCAGGCGGGCGGACAGAACGGGGGCAAAGTACCGCCGACGACCGCACATTCCCGCTGGTGGTCTGCGGCATGCCCCGTAAAATTCCTGTTCAGTCACTGGAAGTCTCCGCACGTTTTCGTTTCTCTGAATAACACAGGGGAGGAGGGCCGTGCTCGTGAGATCGCCCGCGACTGGAAACACTTTCGCCCGGGAGGGCGGAGGGCGGGCAGAGCTGTCAGCCTTTCCGCCCAGCGCCCGCACCAGCGTCACGGCAGAGGCTGCAGGTGCCCAGGCGGGCGGCCGCCGCCCTCCCGGCTCCGGGCCGAGGTGCCCATTCCCAGCCAGCCCGAGAGCCGTCTGCGGATCTCACTAAACCCAACTTCTCCGGCCGGCCGCACGCGGAACTTTCCAATCACAGCCTCGGGGCTGCGCCCAAACACGGCCCCGGTGCTGTGGCGTCCCAGGCTCTCAGGAGACAAACCACAGCGGCTCACTCGTCCTCCCCGACGCTGCCGAGCGGCCGGCACCCACCACCCCCGGCCCCGCGGCGGCAGGAGCCCGGC